TCTCTGTAACAGGTTGAATAACTGGGCGTTTCAGGAAAGTTGTATGGTTGGAGAACAATCTGGCTTCAGAAAGGGTTTTCAGACCACGGATAACATCTTTGTTGTTGAGACATTGATCAGTAAATTTCTTTCCTACAAAAAAGGTCGTCTATACTGTGCGTTCATCGATCTAAAAGGGGCATTTGATTCTGTGTATAGAAATGGTTTATTTTTCAAACTATGGAAGGGTGGTATCAAGGGACGAGTATTTAGAGTTCTTAAAAATATGTATAAATCTGTCAAATCTTGTGTTTCATTAGATTGTGGTCTTACAGATTTCTTTGATTGTATCTCAGGTGTTAGACAGGGATGTCAGCTGTCTCCATTTGTATTCTCATTTTTTATTAATGACATTGTCGAAGAGTTGGAGTGTGACGCTCATGGTGTTACCTTACATACTCTAGAACTGTTCATCTTGTTGTTCGCCGATGACATTATTTTAATGGACGTGTCAGTTGTTGGTCTTCAAAAGCGACTTGATAAACTATCTATATATTGTGATAAATGGAAACTTACTATTAATACTGATAAAAGTAAAGTTGTCATTTTTAGAAATGGCGGAAAACTTAGAAATCAGGAAAGATTTAAGATAGGTAATGATGATGTCACCACAGTATCGAATTATAAGTATCTCGGTGTCCAGTTATCCTCTTCTGGCTCGTGGAGTTTAACTCAGAAGACATTAGCCCAGCAAGCTTGGAAGGTGATTCAAATCCTCCAGTCTAGACTAGGTAAATTCTCATATCTGCCACCAGATGTCTGTTTCAAAAATTTTAATGTAAAAGTGTTACCAATTTTGACATATGGATCGGAAGTTTGGGGATTCCATGCATCACCTGACATTGAAAATGTGCACAGTAAATTCTGTAAATTGACTTTGGGTTTGAGTAGAAACACACCAAATAGCTTTGTAAAATCTGTCCTGATGAGAAACTCCGTCGAAGTGTCACATTATTTAAAAATCATAAAATTTTGGCTTCGACTATTGATACAAGATATTAATTTGATTTTGAAAAAAACGTATAGTTTTCAATATAAAAGGGCCGAGAATGGCAACGCTTGCTGGGCACTCAAGGTTACATCATTGCTGTTTTCTTACGGATTTGCAGAGGTATGGCTTCAACAGGGTGTTGGTAGATCTGACTTATTCTTACATCAGTTTAGGCAAAGGAGCGTAGACATTGAAAATCAAGTGTTGCACAATAATTGTGAATCTTGTTCTAAGCTTGAATTGTTCTCTGCAGTAAGGGATAAATTTTCATATAATAACTGGATTGGATTAATTGATGTAACATTATTTCGAATTAATATCTTGAATTATCTTGGATCCAATCATCGTCTTATGGTTGAAACAGGCAGATATCATAATATACCAAGACATGAACGTTTCTGTCCCCTCTGTGCTATCCAAGATGAGTTCCACTTTTGTATGGTGTGTCCGTTCTATCTTGATCTGCGGTCTAATCTCATACCAAATTATTATCACATGTTTCCAAGTCGTGAGAAAATGTCCTTATTATTCAGCTCGACTAATCAAAGTATTTGCAACAATTTAGCAAAATATGTATTTCTTGCTGGTAAGAAACGTAATTCCATTTTCAAGGGAATACCTGTGTCATATAATTAACTCCAATAATAACAGTTTGAATACTGCATTGTAAATCTTATAATTCAGCGCTCTGTCATATTTGTATGCCATCATACTCTGCACGTGTATAATGGGCCGGTGGCCTCATTACCTGAATAAAAGCATCAATCAATCAATCTGAGTTATTGTGAAATCCCCATTAAAAGTAGAAGTGACAATTAAGAGCATGTACAAGCAGTTAACAGGTTAATGAATGCAGGCATACCAGGGCTGGTCAAAACGTTCTAAACCTAACAAACAAAACCAACAATTGAGAAAGTGTTTAATTTCATTTTTCTACCTGCTTTTCAATACACTTCTCATATCGATTGTGAAGCTTTTCAATTCCAGTCAGGAAGAAGTTTTCTGAAGCCTCCCTGAAGAACCTATTCACGGCAGCTTTGGGGTCATCGTTGTGTCATAGCGCTTTCCACGAAGGTATTCTTTCTGTTTAGGTGAAAATCACTTGGTAACAGGTCTGGCGAGTATGGATAATGAGGAAGCTCTTCGAACCCACATTGTCGCACAGCAGTCTTTGCAAGTCGAGAGGTGTGAGAAGAGGCATTGTCATAAAAAAGTAGAACTACTGCAGTCCGCATTCCTCACCGCTTTTTTCTGACAGAATCTCTCAGGCGATAAAGCAAATCAGAAAAGTAGGCACCGGTAATAGTCTATGACTTTCTAAGTAATCAACAACGATCACAATCTTTGCATCCCAGAATACAAAAGCCATACACTGATCTTGAAGACTTAAATTTCATTGTTGCCAGAGAAGTGGAATGGTGTCGTTCCATGGATTGACGTTTTGATTTTGGGATCACAGTGGTAAACCCATTCTCCTCATTTAGCTCTAAATGGATCCATGACTTAGACCTGTGTCTTCCTCAAGTTCAGCAGAGGAAATAATCTGACAGTATAAGTGTTTCTTTCTCCTTGATTGAATCTTCATTGATGGAAGTTGAGGGATGTCCAGACCTAAGGTTATCATCAAGGCATTTCTCCCAGCCGTAAATAAAGCTGCCCAATGTTTTAGCTGGGACACTTATCCCCATCGCTTGTGACATGCGGTCATGAAATTCTTCGGGAGTACATTTCTCTAAAGTAAAAAGTTTGGTGACTGCTTGGTACTCGTTCTTTTCCATTTCTGTGTCTATGCAGACCTTTATCGCGTTCACTGGCTGTCAAAAATATACAAACGGCCTCACCAGACCAAATACGCTGGCAATGAACTACTCAAACAATGTACAACATTGACTAGTTCACTTTGTTATGGGCCATAGTTGAAAGTTGAAACTTTTTGACCAGCCTTCGTATCAACAATGGGATGAGATAAAAAGCACCTAGCTGTCCTGATGTTTCCAAGATTGTCAATGACCTGGCTCTAGCAGATGTCTCATCAGATGTTTTAACATAATTATTATTCCCTAGACTCTACTTAGTGTTGTCCCAACTGTAACCTTCAGCTTCAGTTGTCCCTAGACTCTACTTAGTGTTGTCCCTCGCTCTACTTTGTGTTGTCCCAACTGTAGCCTTCAGCTTCAGTTGTTCCTGGACTCTACTTAGTGTTGTCCCTAGACTCTACTTTGTGTTGTCCCAACTGTAGCCTTCAGCTTCAGTTGTCCCTAGACTCTACTTTGTGTTGTCCCTAGACTCTACTTAGTGATGTCCCTAGACTCTACTTAGTGTTGTCCCTAGACTCTACTTAGTGTTGTCCCTAGACTCTACTTAGTGCTGTCCCTAGACTCTACTTAGTGTTGTCCCTAGACTCTACTTAGTGCTGACCCAACTGTAGCCTTCAACTTCAGTTGTCCCTAGACTCTACTTAGTGTTGTCCCTAGACTCTACTTAGTGTTGTCCCTAGACTTTACTTAGTGCTGTCCCAACTGTAGCCTTCAACTTCAGTTGTCCCTGGACTCTACTAAGTGTTGTCCCTAGACTCTACTAAGTGTTGTCCTTACTGTTGCCTACAACTTCAAATATTTTTACTGCCTTAAAGTAGTGTATTTAGCATGTTTAGACTCATTAAAATTGTATTAGTCCCTTCAGTTTTAATATGCCAAGAGTAACCAAGTTGGTTTGGTTTTGCCTTACTTTCAACAGTATTTCAGTTACATCATGGCATATCAGCTTAATATGAAAGGAGAGTCCACGTGTGATGACAACCCAAGGATCATAAGTGGATGCTGGCACAACTACCATTACTGAGAAATACCTCTTGCCCTGTTGGGGTAAATTGCAGTATTTGGGTCCCCACTTTGGTGGTTTCCGTAAGGGCAGGTTCACTTGTAAATAAGTGTGCTCACGCTAGCACCCCAAACTCATGGAGGCATTTTTAAGCCAAAAGGGCCCTAAAAATGAGCTGGACATGAAAAATATGATCTAATCCTCAAAGCTGAGAGTTTTACAATAGTAAGTGAAGCTTAATTCGTGTGGTGTCGACTTAGTGTTGTTTATGGGTGGGGCATAAATGATGGAAGACGTCTTATGTCTGATCAAGTGACATTCCTTATATGGATTCGATGAAATCTTCACATCTGGAAAGTCTTTCATTATTTGTCACTTTTCTCAGTAATTTGTATTACACCACAAATATCTGACGGTGTGATTGTGTACAATTTGTACAATTGTGCAGGGATAAGGGATGGCTTTTGGATTGGTTGGTGGATATAGGTGTGTTGGACAGATCGCAGTGGCCTTGCTATAAGTGTGAGAATTAATAGGAGGGACTGCAGTCGGAGTAAGGGATTTGTGTGGCGGTGCAACAAGAAGAGTGTCATTTTAAGATTTCAGTTAAGTGTTATTCCTGGTTTTAGAATTCTAATTTGTTCCTGAGATTCTGAACTTTCTTTTAAGAGGGTTTATAGATTTTGTTAAACTTCAGTTGAAACTTGGTTCTGATCACACTTTGGTTGATTGGTACAATGTTTGTGTATATTAATAATTACAAACTTAATTAATGTTTCTCTAAATAAAATGATGGAAAGTAAGCTAAACAATAAACTGTACTCAGCCTAAATGGATCAGCAGATTCAAACGATTTGTTTGACTGAGTAAGTAATATCTTTTCTATGAATATATATATGCAATCATGAACTAAGTTACTGTAGTGCGATCTATTTCAATCCCCCTTTAACCTACCGTGTTGTCTCAAAAACAATCCTGATCTAAAGACAGTATTCGGCACGATAAAATGGGGCCAACAAATCCTCTCATTTCAACCATAAACAACGAAAAACGGTTTTGATTCAATAACTTCTGTAGAAATGTTCCTTCCATGTTTGGGAACCCAAACACTGCTGTCTACTCTTAAATTATACACACATCAACAAAATAGTTGTTGATAAAGACAATTTATTTAAAAACACATCACATGGTAATGTCATGTATGCAATCACAATTCAAATATAGTTACACTGCACTATGTCAGTATTCATGTCACTAGTTAGTCTACCAGAATCATGAGTGTGATGATGGACATGAGGAAGTTCTGGTATCTGACATCATCCGTGACACTTTATCTCCAGTCATCATGGTTACAACATCCTTCAAATCTCCAGTCATGCCACCATGGACACATTATTTCTAGAGAGTTGCCACATGGCTGATGCATAGCTGATGCAAAGTTAAATCTTAACTCACTCACTTATTATCTCTTATCGCCATGGAGAATTCACCAGGATGCTTTTTATCCCGCCATGCCACCTTGACATGATACCATCTGCATCCACTGATCCTCTGTTGTTCCAATGACTAATATATAGAGTGTCAGTAACCATGCTTGCAGCTATATCAGCCCAAGGGGAACCCCAAGTACTCATGATATTTGTAACGGAGACACATCGATATCTCACTTGCCCATGTCTGGTTCTAGCTGCATTCCATGTCAGTGTTTGGTGAAGTTTTTATCCAAAGCTGCTTTTGTCCTTTGAATGTTGTACTTGTTGCGCTTGAGTCGGTCCTCCACAGTGCTGCTGCTGGCATGCTGAGCCATCAGAGGACTGCAAGACAAACGGGTAAGTCAGTAACTAATGGTGAACAATGTTCATAGACAGCTGAAAGTTTCAGTTTACAGTATTTCACTTCCTCAGTGTACATAGACTCCAGGACTGGGTGTCCCTATGTCTGTGCATCATCGATTCATCATGCACATCGTCTCCTCACAGGCCAGTCAAGGAGCCACCCGGCTCTGTTGCTCACCAGATCCTTCCCGGAATATTATAGGAAAGCAGCAAAACAATAATGTAAAAGGGCAAAGAACAAGTGAAAGAAACAAGAGATGTTTCTACAAAAGAGACATCCTTATAGGATGTTCATTAAATTTTATACATTGATACATGCCTTAGTGGCTGTGTGGTGGGCCAAAAATATATTTTCATCATGATCACCATCTCACTATTGGCAGCCAAGATGGTACTCAAAGGTCAAAGCTGTGTCAAACTCAAATTATGCAAAACATAAGTATTGTATGTTTTTCCACATAGCACATACCATGCACACTTATGTAGAAAAGGTAAACCTAGCAATGGCCAACAATGACATTGTACTATAGCTGCCAAGGTGGCAATGTGTACAATCAGACTGACAATCACAGAGAGTGTCCTGGAGACACCATAAACCAAGAGGTTTAAGCATAGTTGAGATGCTGAAAATGTAGCTAACATATATAATATATATAAACAGATAAACTAAAGGTTTGCAGCAGATGGATGGAAAGATGACAACATTGCACAACACCATAGACTTATATGTCAGACAAGGGAGCTAAATACTAAATACTAAACTGTTGCATGGTTGGACATGACAGGTGGCAGGTAAGTTATAATTCTACTTGAACTTTGCCTCGGGATTACGCAACAAACCTGTGAGACATTTTAGAAGTGTTTGCTGGCTCCTGTCAGAGTACAGAGTACAACAGATCAAGGGGTATCAAGGGTGCTACACATTATGTAAACTGAAATGTTTTCTTACTTAATAAAGTCAGCACTGCTTCCCTTCTTTTTCTGTTCTGCTTCTTCCTTCCTGTCTTCCTCTTGGTATCTCTGCACATTGCTCTTCCTCTGTTCATCCCTCCACCTAGCGTTGTCCATCATCTCCTGCAACCGCCTTTGTCTCTCCTCATCTGTCAGCTTCCTGCAACACAGACAAGCCCTGTAGAATAGGTCTTCAGCAACCCATGCTTGCCGTAAAAGGCGGCTATGCTTGTCGTAAGAGGCAACTAACGGGATCAAGTGATCAGGCTCGCTGACTTGGTTGAAGCATGTCATCATATCTCAATTACGTGGATCAATGCTCATGATATCAATCACTGGATAATCTGGTCCAGACTCGATTATTTACAGACCGCCGTCAATCAACAAACAAACAAATGTACATACTCAACCCTCTGCATACACATACACAGTCAACCCCTGTACAGACAGCCTATGTTAATACAGTCAACACCTGTACAGACAACCTATGTTAATACAGTCAATCCCTGTACAGACAGCCTATGTTAATACAGTCAACACCTGTACAGACAGCCTATGTTAATGCAGTAAACACCTGTACAGACAACTTATGTTAATACAGTCAACACCTGTACAGACAGCCTATGTTAATACAGTCAACATCTGTACAGACAGCCTATGTAAATACAGTCAACACCTGTACAGACAACCTATGTTAATACAGTAAACACCTGTACAGACAACCTATGTTAATACAGTCAACACCTGTACAGACAACCTATGTTAATACAGTCAACACCTGTACAGACAACCTATGTTAATACAGTCAACACCTGTACAGACAGCCTATGTTAATACAGTCAACACCTGTACAGACAGCCTATGTAAATACAGTCAACACCTGTACAGACAACCTATGTTAATACAGTAAATACCTGTACAGACAACCTATGTTAATACAGTCAACACCTGTACAGACAACCTATGTTAATACAGTCAACACCTGTACAGACAACCTATGTTAATACAGTCAACCCCTGTACAGTCAACACCTGTACAGACAACCTATGTTAATACAGTCAACACCTGTACAGACAACCTATGTTAATACAGTCAACCCCTGTACAGTCAACACCTGTACAGACAACCTATGTTAATACAGTCAACACCTGTACAGACAACCTATGTTAATACAGTCAACACCTGTACAGACAACTTATGTTAATACAGTCAACCCCTGTACAGTCAACACCTGTACAGACAGCCTATGTTAATACAGTCAACACCTGTACAGACAACTTATGTTAATACAGTCAACACCTGTACAGACAGCCTATGTTAATACAGTCAACACCTGTACAGTCAACACCTGTACAGACAGCCTATGTTAATACAGTCAACACCTGTACAGACAACTTATGTTAATACAGTCAACACCTGTACAGACAACCTATGTTAATACAGTCAACACCTGTACAGACAACCTATGTTAATACAGTCAACACCTGTGCAGTCAACACCTGTACAGACAACCTATGTTAATACAGTCAACACCTGTACAGACAGCCTATGTTAATACAGTCAACCCCTGTACAGACAGCCTATGTTAATACAGTCAACACCTGTACAGACAGCCTATGTTAATACAGTAAACACCTGTACAGACAACTTATGTTAATACAGTCAACACCTGTACAGACAGCCTATGTTAATACAGTCAACATCTGTACAGACAGCCTATGTTAATACAGTCAACACCTGTACAGACAGCCTATGTTAATACAGTCAACACCTGTACAGACAGCCTATGTTAATATAGTCAACCCCTGTGCAGACAGCCTATGTTAATACAGTCAACACCTGTACAGACAACCTATGTTAATACAGTCAACACCTGTACAGACAACCTATGTTAATACAGTCAACACCTGTACAGACAGCCTATGTTAATACAGTCAACACCTGTACAGACAGCCTATGTAAATACAGTCAACACCTGTACAGACAACCTATGTTAATACAGTAAATACCTGTACAGACAACCTATGTTAATACAGTCAACACCTGTACAGACAACCTATGTTAATACAGTCAACACCTGTACAGACAACCTATGTTAATACAGTCAACCCCTGTACAGTCAACACCTGTACAGACAACCTATGTTAATACAGTCAACACCTGTACAGACAACCTATGTTAATACAGTCAACCCCTGTACAGTCAACACCTGTACAGACAACCTATGTTAATACAGTCAACACCTGTACAGACAACCTATGTTAATACAGTCAACACCTGTACAGACAACTTATGTTAATACAGTCAACCCCTGTACAGTCAACACCTGTACAGACAGCCTATGTTAATACAGTCAACACCTGTACAGACAACTTATGTTAATACAGTCAACACCTGTACAGACAGCCTATGTTAATACAGTCAACACCTGTACAGTCAACACCTGTACAGACAGCCTATGTTAATACAGTCAACACCTGTACAGACAACTTATGTTAATACAGTCAACACCTATACAGACAACCTATGTTAATACAGTCAACACCTGTACAGACAACCTATGTTAATACAGTCAACACCTGTACAGTCAACACCTGTACAGACAACCTATGTTAATACAGTCAACACCTGTACAGACAACCTATGTTAATACAGTCAACCCCTGTACAGTCAACACCTGTACAGACAACCTATGTTAATACAGTCAACACCTGTACAGACAGCCTATGTTAATACAGTCAACATCTGTACAGACAGCCTATGTTAATACAGTCAACACCTGTACAGACAGCCTATGTTAATACAGTCAACACCTGTACAGACAGCCTATGTTAATATAGTCAACCCCTGTGCAGACAGCCTATGTTAATACAGTCAACACCTGTACAGACAACCTATGTTAATACAGTCAACACCTGTACAGTCAACACCTGTACAGACAACCTATGTTAATACAGTCAACACCTGTACAGACAACCTATGTTAATACAGTCAACACCTGTACAGACAACCTATGTTAATGCAGTCAACACCTGTACAGACAGCCTATGTTAATACAGTCAACACCTGTACAGACAGCCTATGTTAATACAGTCAACACCTGTACAGACAGCCTATGTTAATACAGTCAACACCTGTACAGACAGCCTATGTTAATACAGTCAACACCTGTACAGACAACCTATGTTAATACAGTAAACACCTGTACAGACAACCTATGTTAATACAGTCAACACCTGTACAGACAACCTATGTTAATACAGTCAACACCTGTACAGACAACCTATGTTAATACAGTCAACCCCTGTACAGTCAACACCTGTACAGACAACCTATGTTAATACAGTCAACACCTGTACAGACAACCTATGTTAATACAGTCAACCCCTGTACAGTCAACACCTGTACAGACAACCTATGTTAATACAGTCAACACCTGTACAGACAACCTATGTTAATACAGTCAACACCTGTACAGACAACCTATGTTAATACAGTCAACCCCTGTACAGTCAACACCTGTACAGACAGCCTATGTTAATACAGTCAACACCTGTACAGACAACTTATGTTAATACAGTCAACACCTGTACAGACAACCTATGTTAATACAGTCAACACCTGTACAGACAACCTATGTTAATACAGTCAACACCTGTACAGTCAACACCTGTACAGACAGCCTATGTTAATACAGTCAACACCTGTACAGACAACTTATGTTAATACAGTCAACACCTGTACAGACAACCTATGTTAATACAGTCAACACCTGTACAGACAACCTATGTTAATACAGTCAACACCTGTACAGACAACCTATGTTAATACAGTCAACACCTGTACAGACAACCTATGTTAATACAGTCAACACCTGTACAGTCAACACCTGTACAGACAGCCTATGTTAATACAGTCAACACCTGTACAGACAACTTATGTTAATACAGTCAACACCTGTACAGACAACCTATGTTAATACAGTCAACACCTGTACAGACAACCTATGTTAATACAGTCAACACCTGTACAGTCAACACCTGTACAGACAGCCTATGTTAATACAGTCAACACCTGTACAGACAACTTATGTTAATACAGTCAACACCTGTACAGACAGCCTATGTTAATACAGTCAACACCTGTACAGACAGCCTATGTTAATACAGTCAACACCTGTACAGACAGCCTATGTTAATACAGTCAACACCTGTACAGACAGCCTTTGTTAATACAGTCAACACCTGTACAGACAACCTATGTTAATACAGTAAACACCTGTACAGACAACCTATGTTAATACAGTCAACACCTGTACAGACAACCTATGTAAATACAGTCAACACCTGTACAGACAACCTATGTTAATACAGTCAACCCCTGTACAGTCAACACCTGTACAGACAACCTATGTTAATACAGTCAACACCTGTACAGACAACCTATGTTAATACAGTCAACCCCTGTACAGTCAACACCTGTACAGACAACCTATGTTAATACAGTCAACACCTGTACAGACAACCTATGTTAATACAGTCAACACCTGTACAGACAACCTATGTTAATACAGTCAACCCCTGTACAGTCAACACCTGTACTGACAGCCTATGTTAATACAGTCAACACCTGTACAGACAACTTATGTTAATACAGTCAACACCTGTACAGACAACCTATGTTAATACAGTCAACACCTGTACAGACAACCTATGTTAATACAGTCAACACCTGTACAGTCAACACCTGTACAGACAGCCTATGTTAATACAGTCAACACCTGTACAGACAACTTATGTTAATACAGTCAACACCTGTACAGACAACCTATGTTAATACAGTCAACACCTGTACAGACAACCTATGTTAATACAGTCAACACCTGTACAGACAACCTATGTTAATACAGTCAACACCTGTACAGACAACCTATGTTAATAGTCAACACCTGTACAGACAGCCTATGTTAATACAGTCAACACCTGTACAGACAACTTATGTTAATACAGTCAACACCTGTACAGACAACCTATGTTAATACAGTCAACACCTGTACAGACAACCTATGTTAATACAGTCAACACCTGTACAGTCAACACCTGTACAGACAGCCTATGTTAATACAGTCAACACCTGTACAGACAACTTATGTTAATACAG